TGGGTGTACCTGAGTGCACTCACAATCACTCGCGCGGCTGCGTTCTGGACTAGTTGAAGTCTTCGAACACTCTTCAAGGGCAGCCCCATGTAGAGCGCGTTACAGTAATCCAGTCTTGAGGTCACAAGGGCATGAGTGACTGTCTGTCTCTCGATCCAGGTAGGGTCACAATTGGTGCACCAGGTGAACCTGGGCAAAGGTCCCCCTGGTCACAGCCAACCAACGGTGTTCTAAAGTCAGCTGGGGATCCAGGAGGACTCCCAAATTGTGAACCCTCTCTGAGGGGCGTATAATTTCACCCCCCAGCCTGAGAGATGGAATACTTGGCCAATCTTTGGGAGGGAACATCAGTAGCCACTCGGTCTTGTCTGGATTGAGTGCCAACTTGTTTAAATTTAGATTTAAAATGTATCATTTTAGCAATGTAAGCTTCTCATATTCACTCACTCATTCATTCAGCCCACATGTATGAACGAAGCACTCCTTGTAATTAGTCAAGAGGAAAGAGGAACGAGAAACTTCCCTGGAGCACTCTCTGAGATAATATTTGATGGAATGAAAGATGATACTTCAAACCTCTCTTCCCTCCAGCTCTTTTGCAGACAATGCCGGATTACCTATATGAATTTCTGGCCATTTTGAACATCACACTTTGATTTTTAGTGGTTATTCATCTAAGAGTCATGATAGATGTGAAGATGTTCTTTGTCATGACTATGCCATGAATATAGATAGTACAAGAATTATATGTTCAAAAATATCTTTCTCTTCTCACTTTGACTTGAAACGGCTTCTGTTGGATATACCTGGACATTTTTTATATATTCTAGATTTTTTTTTAGAAAATATAGCTTTCCAACACTTGTGATATTAACTCCTCCCGTAAACCCTGTCCTTCAAAACTGATAGTTGGACTACTAGAGAGGGCTGAAAGCCCTATGAAGCGGTATATAAGTCTAACTGCTATTGCTATTGCTAGTTCCTGCCAACCAGTTCAAAGCATGTATATAAGTCTAACTATTGCTAGTCTGTACGGTCTTCTTGCAGCCACCAACTAGATGTCCCCTGTTTCATCAGCTTCTTTGCAGAAGCAGCATTTGCATTCTCTTTCTGGCTTCCCAATTATGGCTTTGTGTACATTTGTTCTTAGGGCTTGTTAATTATTCCCAGCCATTCAAGTGTTTAGACTAGATTTGGCATTTTCATCTACCTATTGAGCTCTTCCAATAATCTGGGATAGTCAGATGTTGTTGTTTGACGGTGCTAAAGGTATCATCACGGTATATAAGCTTTTTGAAGCAAAACTGCCTTTTGCAATTAACTGTTATTTTCTGTTCACAACAATGCAAAGACATAGTTGTCAGTTCTTTAGCTGTTGCTGGCCTTCATACACAGCAAGTGTCCCCCAACAACCTAGGCTATCACAATGTATCAACAGAGCATGTATGTCAATCCAAGCAGTGTGATTTTTTATAATTGACAGACAGAAATTTTGTCCAGGCACCAATTTTTTAAGTGCTGTTCAATATTTCTTTTTTGGCATGGCACCCAACCAGCCCATTATTATCATTATTAATAATGTTTATCAATATCTTTTTTCTTGTTTTTCTGGTTCACGTTTTCCTATCTTGGAACCATGAAAAAAATGAAAGAATAAAGCAGCTTTTAAAAAACTGACACAAAGTCCTTTATTTATAAAGGATGGAAAGAAGGATATCAAAGTGCTTGGTGAAGGCAGACAATTACTTGTGACATGCATCAGTAAATTATGTCCTAGTTCTCCAACATTTCCCCATAGGC